CCCATCTACTGAATCAGAGACTCGAGGACAGAAGCTTTTTAAGAAGGGCGTCTCATGATTATGAAAGTTTGGGAAACAGTTCTCCATAACTGGACTGTTTAGTATGGCAGATACTAGCCATATGTAGTCATTAAACAGAATGAAATGTAAAAATTCTGTTTCCTAGCTGTACTAGCTATATTTCAGCTGCCCAAAAACCACATGTACCTGGCCCCATTAGTACAAAAAGATGTCCTCAATGATGCTGACTCTAGGCCAATTCTTCAACTAGGAAATGAAGACATGGAAGCAAAGGATCTTGTCTAACAAGTACCACTAGTTAGTGGTAGAATTCCAACTCTCACCCAGTCTGCCAGCATCTCTCCTACCTGTCTTGCCCCACCTTCAAATTAAGAAGTTTAAATGAGAGTTGTCTCCTAATCGCCTTTTCCTTTCCAGCAAAGAAAGAAAAAGTGAAAACTGGTGGGGGTTAATCCCCAAAGTTTATTCAAGAGTTATGATTTGACCTGAAATCAGCCTGCACACTATATAAAGTCAAAAGTCATCTGGAACAGCTAAGAGCACCTCAGTGTTGAGATCTAACTAGCTTTAGTCATTTTAAGTCCTCCTCCTTTTACTAGCCTGGTATTTACTCTCCCTCAAAGAGAAATCCTGAAACCAATACATACTGATACATATTTGCTAGTTTGAAGAGAGAAACAAGGTATCTTACAGTACTAGCTAACATTTTAAATCAAAAGCAACCTAATGGTGACTTGCCTAAGAATGTGGTCCCGGTGACCCACAACCACTCCAGTGGTTTAGTACTTAAGACATTAATAATGGTTTTTTACCTCTGAACAATAGTATCTTTTGACCACTGTAATGTTTATAACATTTGTTTTAATTTCCAATGTAACTAAGGAATTAGGAGCAGCTGAACATATGACGGTTTAGACACTCATCAAGCCAACATATAAACAGCCATGAAAAATTTTTAGCAGTGCTTTCTTTAAAAATAAAACCAGTTGTTCCTGTCTAGTACGTTTAGAATGCAAATGTCTCCAAACTCAGTCAACTTGAGTCATGACAGTTCATGATTAAAGAAAAACAATTTGCAAATCCCTACTAATTAGAACTTTAAAGACAAAAATCATAACTTCTATTGTTATTTTCTCCACTAGCTAATATTCAATTCCACATTAAGGTCTATTTAGATTTACATAAAATACTTTATTTCAAAGTTTACATGAAATTTAAAACTAGGTATTTAAAACAGCTTAAAATGATACTTTCAAAGAAATATTTTTTAATAACACACATAGTTGTAAGTCTCTGTTAAGTCACAAATTAGGGATGGAAGAATATCTTTTCCCTCATTTTAAATAGGGACCCCAGAGCTTAAAGTTAAGCAGAAACTTATCCACTGCCTTTTAGACCCAATGCACCTACCTTTTTACCTATTAAAGTCTAACTACCACCTCACCTTATTGGGAAAACACTTGGTCCAAGAGGCTTATGCCAATAAAAACACTTACAGAGACAGGTGATAAAAGTTACATCAAACCACTGGGAAATCACTTTTCACTCAGGTGAAAAATACTAGTATACTAATTTTAAGTAACTGTTGCAACTACTGCAAACTGTCAGCACTGACTTCTTAACAACTGCTGGGTAGAATCAAGTATTACTACGTTGAACAGACATCTCATGAAAAATAGAGACATGAAAAAAATAGGTAAAGAAGAAAGTCTTGTGGAGGACGGATTTTAGAAGGAAGATCAGCTTACAAGGAACAAACACTTGTAAGGGTCAGGGGAGAGGAGGCCAACTGCTTGTTCCTCTACCATGAGACACTTCTATTCCCAGACACACCTGCAGGCTCCTTTAAGAAAACAGATTGAGGCAACAAGCAAATGATCTTTTAAGAGAGAAGAGCTACAAAGACAAATGCCAGAAATTTTTCAACTTAAAAAAAAAAGGCAAGCACCAGTTAGAGAAAACAGTTCTGAAAGGCTCAGAAGGTATAATTCCTGAGCTTCCTGTAGCGACACTTGTCCTCAGACAAGTAAGTCAGGACATTGAAAGTGACCCTGCAAAGTTTTTGGCTGGCCCTTCCTTATCTCTCCAACCCTTCTTTCCCCTGCTTCCCGGGCATACAAACTAGACGCCAACGAGCGGCGGGTGGGTGACCAATGAGGATGTGAGAGAGAATTTGAGAAGTTTAAGGGGGGGGGGAATACAAGCAAGCAACTTAGCAAGGACATGAAGGAGACGGGAGGGTCTAGGAGGGTCAGGCAAACGGGGAGTACTGGCCAAGGAGATGGGCTTTCCCGGGAGGAAGGCAAGGCTGAGCGTCCGCAGGGGTGGAAGCAGAGATCGCACTACCTACCACTTGTCAGAGAGGCTGCAGAGGGGACGGCGGCTTGGGGTGACCTCTAATGTCTCTGCCGACTCTGAAATGTCAGGATGCTTATTTCACAACAGAGAACGCACTGGTGGCGGCAGCTCCCTGACTCGGGAGACCCCCCCCCCAGCGGCTGCTCCCGCACCACTCCCCCAGCCCTCCCACACGTGCCCACCCCGCCCCCTTTGCTTATTTCCACCTCCACGTGCGACATGCCCGGCGGCGGGACCCCGCAGCAGACAGGCGCCTGCCCCCGCCGGGGATGAGAACTACGCCCCCTCGGAGGGAAAAGAGGACTCCACTCACCCCTCTCGGCGACTAAAGGAGGGGGTAAAGACCCCCACGCAACCTCCCATCAAGAGGCAGGGCGAGAGCAGGACCCTGCGGGAAACTTTTTGAAATGCCTCCTTCCAGGGAGTGGAAGAGTAGAGAGAACCCCGGCGGAGGGGGGAGGGGGCACCCCTGAATCGTTTAACTGCCGAGAGGGGGAGGGGGACTCTGGAGATTGAGGGGGCGTGGGAAGGAGAAGCAGGCCAGGGAGCCGAGGTCAGGGAGCTGCGGGCGTGCCCCCCCCCACCTTACACACAAAGCGGCGGCCGCGCTCGGCTCTCACCAGATCCTTTGTGTTTTCCATCAGGGCCTCATGGGTAGGGGTGATCCGTGCTCCCCGGGCCCGCGGCGCCCCCTCCCCCGCGCTGGGGGCAGGCACCTCCACCCGGGACTGCAGCGATTTCGGGGGCCCCCGGCTGGGCCCTGACCGGTGGCGGCGGTGGCAGCCCCCGGATTTCCCCCCTTTAACTCGGGTGGCCCCAGGATATCAACAACATTAGCATAGCCCTCCCTCCCCAGCGCGCCTGCGCCGTGACCCGCGCCCCGATTGGCCCACTTCCCTACATACCCTCCTTTCTCCCTTCCAGCGTGGGACCCTCTGCAGGCTCCGTACGCTCAGGGCCGTACCAAGACGAAGGGGTGGCAGAGGCAGGCTAGGCTCCGGGGGAGCCAAGTGCAAAACAAGTCAGGAAGAAGAGTAAAAGTTCCATTCAGTCGTCCCAGTTCATATTCTGGCTTCCTTGGACTCCTTCCAATGCGCTGCAGCTGCGAAGTTGTGTTGGAAAAATTTTCCACTCCTGTCACGCCGCTTCCCCCTACACCCGGAAGATCGGCCCTCCCAGAGGAACTCCCACAGGGGGAGGGGTACGCGCGGGGAGTGGGCGGGGCGTAGGGAGGGAGTGTTGGGTCACGTGCTGCGAGGCTGCGCAGACTCTCTCCGGCTTCCCCCGGGCCTCAGAAGTGGCGGAAAGATAGACGTCCTGACGCCTGCGCAGTGAGGTTCCACGTGAGCGCCTGCGTTTCGTCTCAAACGCAACGATGCCGCCAGAGCGAAGGAACCGAATGAAACCGAACCGGAGTACCCGAAGGGAGCCAGGCCGGAAGACTCCAATGAAGCTGGACCGGAGAACTGGAGCGAAGCCGGGCAGACCGGCACCAAAAGCTTCCCCTTCATCCCAGCGGAAACCGCCGGCCCGGCCGAGCGCGGCGGCAGCCGCTGCGATCGCAGTCGCGGTGGAGGAGGAGAGGCGGCTCCGGCAGCAGAATCGGCTGGCGCTGGAGGAGGACAAACCGGCCGTGGAACGGTGCTTGGAGGAGCTGATCTTCG